GATCGTTCGCTACGTTGAAGCATCGCAAAAATCCGAGTACGTTCGCGTGAAGAATGCGGACGATGACGTGCATGACCACCGTAAAATTGTAGAAACTATCTGGGAGGCTTTCGTGATCATGCGACAGACTGAATCCACGCGTTTCTTATGTTTCGAATGAGTTATCTCGTCAGCGCTCATTCCTGGTTCAGTGGATTTAGAACGAAAATGCTTTGAATAGCTTCGCTTTTCGCTACCAGTCTCGCTAATTCGTGTTTGCACAGCTGTTTCTGTACACGGCCGCTTCATCTCGAGTTCCTTCATTTCCAGTACTTCATTTTGAATCAGGAGCCATTCGCATTTATGAATATACACTATGGATTAGAAAAATTAAAATATTTAGTAGCCAATAGAAATCTGTAACTCAGTGGAAGGTAATGATCACGGATAATCTTCTTGTGGAACTAAATGGCGGATATGCAGTAAAGGGTTCAGAAGGAAATTCTGAAGAAACAACAGTAATAGGTATACAACGCGTTCGACTACGCGACCCAAAGTACTTATTTTGTTACGAAGTTTCTCTGTTTCTTGTTGAGTTTTTCAACAACGTTTCGTAAACCGCATTTCCCTTCTGCTACTCTCAGAATACATGGCACAGAGAGAGTCACGACCTCGTGGATTTTACGGACTTATCTCGGTCTGTTAAGTAGGCTATCGGCAATGTCATTAGACGCGCGGAGGATTGTCAACGTGTTATGCGACTTCTGTCGCAAGAATCCGTGGAACGCGCGTTCTTAAACCAAGTGTAGGCAATCTCTTATCCTATCGTCATCGTCGATTTACCATTTAAAATTGATTGCGTTGAGTTTCATCTCGATTTATATAAACATGGAAAGAATCGATAAAAAGAAGTATATAGGAATGAGTAGCCATTCGTCCTCGAAAGTACTCGTGCAAACGATTTTCGAAAGCTTCAGGTAGTTTCGCAGTTAGATACACAGAAAGATAACTATAACTGGACGCCCTAAGGGATTTGTTAACGAGCGAACGAATTTCAAAAGTCTTGGTGAAAGTAGTGAAATTACGGTGATAATGAAATATAGAATGTTTCTGAAAAAAATAACTCTTATTTCTTTAATTGGAAACGAATAAAGCGCAATTTTCGTTTTATAAAATAGAATCGATCGAATGGGTTAACATTCGATATTACAATCCGCTCTTCGAATCAAACAAATAAATAAGTAATAATGGATAGATAATGAATCATTCATATTAATAGCACGCCAAGTTCTCAGACAATTTAAACACCGAAGCAGGCTAAATTAGTGTTACGCGAATTTTTTAGAATATTAAACGCTTCGGGATGGTTATACATACGACGCTAGACATGTACATTCATAGATTTACCTGTGCTTTGCTAACTTGATCCCAAGTTAAACAGTTCGTTGCTAGATCATTGTTCTATACAAACAATGATACGAAGATAGGAAAAATAATCTCAGTTACCGTCATTTTCTCGTCCAAAACTATGAATAGATAAAGTTGAAGTATCTTTAACGCCGATGACTGTTACGTTTCTAATGATAATCTATGGTATGTATCGATTGCTTCTATGATATATATCTTCCATTATACTATTTGCTATGAAAAATGAAATACATATCAATTTGTGATAATATAGTTTACTGATTGTTCCTGATTTCGAGATTATTAAAACAATTGGAAAGAGCAATTTTATCAGTAACAGTAGAATTAGATCAGATGAAATGTGATGAAATATTTGGTTGATTCATATCGCATGAAATAGGTCCGCGTATCCTTTTGGCTCTTCCTGGATTTTCCTTAACCGTGCATATCGATGTTCATAAGTTCGGTGGGTGTTTGATCCGTCTATCGCTACTGTATGAGTTACGCACGCGCCAGGCGTGTGAACCGCAGCGGACTCGTTAGTTCTGTTTCAGGTGAACGGTGTTCGTGGCGATCGTATGCGATAAGGATCGATTCTCTCGATCTGGCACAGGTAACGATATCCTTGAGACTCGAGAGGCGTCATAGTTAGCGCGATCCGACGACGCTCTGTTTGCCGTGTAATAGTAACGATGTTTATCGATCCTGTTATCATCGGGAGTAGTACGCTTGCAAATGCACGAAGCCTCCACGAGTTCGAGGACGAGTAAGAAGACGTAAATACACGACGTGGGAGAGAGGCTCGGTCGAAGGTCTGGTTCCACGTAGAAAAAGGAAAATTGGTTGTCTCTCGATCGAAAGTAGAGCGCCGTTTTCATTATCGGGCAAAATCTGTTGATTTTTTTCTTATGCGTATTATTTTGAATGGGATTAAGTGTAGCCTGGATTCTGTAAAATTTATTTTTGACAACAGAGCCAGCAATTGCCTCAAAGTCAACGAGTGATTTTCGACGCGATCATTATCTGTCTTCGTTATCTTTATTGTCGACGACGATCATTGGGCTCTTGACATTAGCTATCTTGTTGCTTCTGATCCTCCTCGGGGTTGTTTTTCATGCTTCTGATGGCCCCGTCGTAGACAAAGAGCTCGAACATTCCGTTGTTGCCGGTTGTTCGCGTCTGGGGGTACTGATAACAATTTACATGCTCTGTCAACGTTTATCAACGCGTTCGGTATTATGGGGGTCGTCGAGGGATCTTTGTTCACTCTGATAATTACCAGTGGAAAATATCGAGATTTTTAATATAAACCAATCGCAAAACTCGTTCAAATAAATCACCTCCAATTACATTGTTGTTACATAACTTCATCGTCAGAAAAAATGTCGCCGTTCACTTTATCTGATTTGAAGATATAAAAATCTAGAGGTCTATGAATTTGGAGAGTTGGAAATTTAGGAATTTGGTGTGTTAGGAATTTGAGAATTAACTGTATGCCAGTTAAGCCAGCGGGCTTAAGTAATAAAAACATACACCCCCGTAATCGCGGAAATCATCAAGTTCGCGTTCTATTCCGATGCAGAAAAGGTGGAAAATAACGAAGCAGCAGCAACCACGAAGCGTCGAGGTTGAAAACGTTGAAGATGGCCGGTTGGCAAACGTGGGTCGTTGACATCGTCCCGTGATTTTCCTCGACGATCACACGGATGCACCTTACACGTGTGTGCATGTGTCCATTACGTCGTTTTAACCCACCCTCGGTGGTCGCTGGCATCGAATGGGTGAAAAAAGATCGAGGGTTGGAGGGTGAAGAGGATCGTACCCTCGCCACCAGTTGCATACGCGATTGCAACCACCCCCCACGCAATTATCTCATCCAGTAGTGGAAGCTTCTATAGATAGATCGATATTCCCCACCCCTATACTCCTCTTTCACTCTTTCTCTTCCTCTCTCTTCGTTTCTTGATATTTCTCGCTACTTTACTCTTTGCTTCTTGAACGAGCCACTCGCTCATTTTTCTGGTATTTATCTGTCAAGCGAGAACACACTTGTATCGCGAGCACAGTTTATTTCTACGGATAATTATGATTTTCTTCTGCGTTTATTTTATGCCATTCGATGCTATATCACGGTCCATAACTGTAAGGTACAATGAAAATTACATGGTGAACTGTATACGAAACTGCTGACTACTATGCTGACATTATAATACTATACTTGATACTAATTTAATTTCTCATTATTCTATTTAAACGCGCTGGCTTTTAAACGTACTAATATAGTATTCTAATAATTTCAAATGGCCTAGTTTGATTCGTAATGAATTGAATCCCATTGAATTACAGCTAAGTACAACGCGTTCGACTACCACCTGATCGAAGTACAACGCGTCGATCTACCACCTGACCAATGTACAAAATGCTGATCAAATTACAACGCGTCGAATTACTACACGGTCGAGTTACAGCTTAACAAATTGGATCATGTCGCGTTACGTTGCGTCGCATTAAATCGCGACAGATCGAATATAATAATTGCAATTGTAGCATGTCGTGTTATATACGGCCATTCTCATTGTGCGAGAGATAAACTCGTCGGTTGGTTTTTACCCTGTTGGAGGAACAATCGTCGATCTCGTCCGGACTTTGTACGGTTCGATGTCTGACTCTCGTTGTGTTTGTATCGCGCGCGAAAAAATGAAAATCATGACCAGTTGTTGATGCGTTGCATCCCGTTCTGTCGTGGTTAAAAACCGCCTGGTTGCCAACAACCGGCTAGCGGTTATTTAAATACCACCCGTTCACTCGTAAAGTTTTGAGAATCGCGGTCAAAATATACTTGCCAATTCGTGCTTGACATAACATCATGATCCACGAACGTCTATTAAAGAAGGAAAAAGAAGAGATTAATTAATACTTGCTGACAATTACTTCCAAGATCCGTCATACTATTGTTCAACTTTCTTGGACCGACCGAATTGTATAAAGATGACATGAAATTGGTACTCCTCTTCGCGATCGCGAATCAGAGACTTTATTATATAAGTTACCTCGACGATAACGAGCCAGTTCGCCGACGGTTTCGTTTTATCTCGGGGGTGACGCACGCGTTGTTGTGTAGTTATTGAATCGGTAGCCTTGAACTTCGACTCGGAACGTGTCATTGTCCGAATTGAATTATTGGCTCGATGCAGTTCCGTATCGTGTACACGCAAACACACTTTGAGGTGTCGTTGATCGATTCAATTTTAATGCGTTGAACGGCGAGGGGTTCATCGACAAGAAATGTCATGAATTTAATGTAAAACGGATGAAGTTGAACAGAATTTTTAATATTATTAACCTTACATTAACACTCTGACGTATATACGTCTTACAAGATTTACAATTCTGTTAATTTATCGTTTATTTTCTGTTGATAGACTTACATTTTTAGCACCTTTTGATTCTGTAGACCGTAACATTATCACTTTTGAAAGCATAATTTGTGCATTGTGCAGTAATTGAAATAAAAATCGCCTGATATTACAGCGTGTCTGTAAAGTCTGTTCCGTTAAATGTACATTTTTCTAAATGCTTATCGACTAATGCTAATCGAGTTTCGAATGTTTCAGGTAACAATGCTGGAGAAAGATCGTCCGCGGTAACAGGTTCGGTTCAAAGGAGCACCGTCGCGTCAAGTAACCGCGCGCATTCCGCCTCTAGGAGGATCAACCATCAACGTCAGCAACAGCAACAACCACCGCAACAGCAACAGCAACAGCAACAGCAACAGCCACAGCAACCAGCACAACAACAGTCGCAATCACAGCAGCCTAGAATACCAGTGGGATCCTTAAGGAACCCGGATGAACACGGATCGAGAGCCAGCTCGGCACAGGACGTTTGCGATAACTCGAACGATTCTGGGCTCGGCTTTGAGGATCGTCAGCAACACCTCACGAACGCAACCGTTAGTCCCCTTTGCATGTACACGGGATGGACGATAAGTTTAAGGCCATCTTATTTGCACGGTCTTTCGTACTTCAGACTCGTTGTAAATCTCCGGGGATGGGTTCACCAAATAAAGAGCAACTATACAATAAAACATTCACTTTCTCTGGTCTGTTGTGAGTTGTTCATAACGGATCATGTATTTACAATTAAACGGGGGATGTACAAACACGAGGGTTAAGGTGTGTCTAGCCATGAAATATTCTACTCTGTCCTTTCTATTCTGTTCCCTTCCAGATACCTGAGAATGAATATTGGTTAGAACAGGCATGACCAAGTGTTTTCTTAGCTTCGGTAGATAAGGATTCGGTGGATTTTGGGACTTTAGACATTTAGGATTTTGAGGGTTGGAAATTTGGTAACGAGGATTTAGAAGATCGGTAGGGATAATGGTCATTCCTCTTCATCTCACTCTCTCCAGCCACCACTTGGTCGTGTCTGTCTGAAAATGTTACCTGGCGGCAAACGTGTTGTCGTATGGTCATATATATCTCGAGACGACCTATCATCGCGAACGTGACAAAAGCTGGTATAAGTGTCCGACTGTTATCGAGGATTATAATTTTGCTGATCGCGTCATGAATCTGTAAAAAACGTATAGTTTGTTTCTACGTTATTTTCGAACGTAGCGTACGCGTCACACAGTCAACGTCCTTTTAAAAGAAATATTGTGGAACGTACAATATCTTGAGAGATATTCGAACGGCAGGAATTACATCTTTTTTCTGTTTTATCGTATTGCACAAACATGCGCGTTTCTAGAAGAACGAGCTTCGATTGATATCAATACATGCAACGATAACTTATTCTCGAGCCGGGTGTTGCGTAACGCGAAGCGATACACGGTTAAGACTTTTACACGCGTGCGTAGTAACATACGAGAAGAGCCTCGTGTAGATTACGGTTTAATAATCTATATTACTTGCAATTCGGTCATGATATATGTATTTGATGATAATTGAGTAAACATTACGAGTCGGTTGAACTATACTGATATTGACCCAAAGTATCACGAAGGATTTACGAGCAGTACTAAAAATTAATGATGGGATCAAGTTCATTGTGTACTTAGAAATCTGAATCATTTGCAATACCTGATTAGAGATTCGAGCCTTTCATAATTTGATTTGTTGCAGATAATGTTGTTGCTCGAGAGTTTTGGCTGTAAGATACGTACAACGAAAATGTATTTCCAATATTAGGCTAACATTGTAGCTTGTTCTTTTTAAGGGTCTCGAATCAAAATCAGGTTAGAGTAGCTTGAAGTTTAAATACTTCATTCGTAGGAATGTCAAAATCTAGATACCTAAGAAGTAAAGTATCGAACTTTTTTAAGTATAAAAAATCTAAGGTACTCAATTCATAGATAAGTAGAAAGATACAAAACGATAACGCTTCTGTGTCTGTTACATCGGTGTTTAAAAGTATTCGAGTCCATCGCTATCTAACCCTTTCAATTAAAGAACCAACAGCTTGCGCTAAGGATCATTTTCGAATGTTAAGAATCATCGTATTGAAAACGTCTGTCTAAGTCTGTGTATAAAGTACTTGATCCCATCGCTACCAACAATGTATCAGTTAGATAATCAAAGAGAATGTACGAATAGAACGTGATGGTAATTCACGTCCCTTGATCTTCCTCGAAGTTCGAGAACCATCGTGCAATTTTACTTCTGTTTTCTAGTCCGTTGGTCCGATTTCTAAACGAGGCCGCGTCGTTTGCCCCGAAAACGTTACCCAAGAGGTTCTTCTGGGTGTCGGTCGAAGCCTCTGAAAGCTTGCTCTGCCCTATCTTCGTTCCCCTTCGGTGTTACGACATCCTCGGTGCACGTGCAATCTAATGCGATCACGTGTAACGCAGCCTCGGGATCTTCGTTGATTCGACGAGCTCAGTGACACCGGGTCTCTAACGGTAGTTGAACCCGCGTCGACCGATCAACCGAGGCTCTGATTCGTTCAATTGAGCCGACAAACGAGTCGAAAGAACGAACGGCCAACGTACGCTTGTTCCATCTCTCCTAAACCTATTTTCTCTCTCTACATATTAATTCGTTGGTGTTTAACAGGCTTGGAACGGCGCCGGCGAGGAAGACTCCAAGAGAAGAAAAATGGACATCAAGCTCGAGTCCGAGGATGCGAATTTCGCCTTCCCCGAAGTAGCACATTCGGCGAGTTCCGACGGTAAAACGACCAACAGAAATAGCTCGAATGGAATCGCCGTGTTGGCCACTATCTCCGGAAACAGGACAGGGAACGGAAACTCCGGAAGGGTCGTTGAAGTATCCAGATCTCGTCCGGGATTGGGCGTTCTCACGAAGAGGTCGTCGGCTACTCATCAAGGACCTGTCACCCTCACCTCTCAACTGTGTACGTTCTTAAACGCTCATTTTGTTTCTGATAAATGCGCTCTCGAATATTTGTAGCAATATGCTTGTCAGGATTAAGTTTATTCGCCTTTATTAATGTGAAATTTTAAGGTCCAAATGTTTTGGTAATTCAGTCAAATTTGAATGGAGTCAAAATTACAGCAAAGCTATTCACATTGCGGGACGATCCATCGCGCTAATCCTTTAAAATTATATCGAATCGCAATGCCGAGTTTATCGATCTCGTCGTCGAAGCGAGTCTGATTCGGTGACACAGGCTACCGAAAATTTATTGCCGTTGATAGTGTGGATTTAATGTTTTTTATTGGCGGAGATACCGACGACGAGGTCTTTACGCTGGGTCACGAGGCACAGATAACGCTCTTCTTCAAGAGACGTTCTTGAATCTTTTTGAAAGAACAATTTACGAGCGTTGTTTCGTTGTTGTATCATTGTAACAGTTCGTATAACAGTAACGCTGCGTTTACAAATAATGACACGTTGATTTGCGCGGAGATTCGCTGCCTGTTTGCAATCGGATCGTCGAGCTTTTTTCTCAGAATGATGCAAACTGATAACTTTCGGTTCTCCAAGCATTCTTTTCGCTGTCGAATCATTCGGTTCATTCTTTCGAATCCCTTATTCTTCGACTAAATTGCTAGCCTTCGACTACTTTCGTCGATGATACCTTATCTCCGTTGTTTAGGAACCATTTGCCCCATTTCAAATAAATCATCGATATTTCTTCGTTGATATCGGACTGCGATATCAAATGTAGGTCAATCGAGATTTTATGTAATGACACTCTTTTCGATGTAGTTGGTATTCACGTGAAATTTATCCAATATTCGATCCTATTCAATTCTAAACATATCCTTTTAAATATTTGAAACAGGTAGTGCTTCCGCAGATGGAAAGGTGCAATTGCAGATAATCTGTCAGCCCGAGCAGCAGCATCGGGCTCGTTACCAAACCGAAGGCTCTCGAGGAGCAGTGAAAGATCGAACCGGGAACGGGTTTCCCATCGTTCGTCTGGTCGGTTATGACAAACCGACCACTCTTCAAGTTTTCATCGGTACAGATCTGGGTCGTGTCGCACCTCACATGTTCTATCAAGCTTGTCGAGTAAGCGGTAAAAACTCGACGCCATGCATCGAGCGTAAAATCGACGGTACCATCGTGATCGAGGTGGACATGGATCCGACGAAGGATATGATGGTCACTTGCGATTGCGTCGGTATCTTGAAGGAACGTAACGTGGACGTAGAGCACAGATTTCCACAGGAAGCCGGTGTGCTACAGGGTCGCAGTAAAAAAAAGTCGACCCGTTGTCGCATGGTTTTCCGCACGACCATCGCTCATCCCGATGGCAGTACGGAGACTTTGCAAGTCTGTTCTCAACCAATAGTTTGTAGTAGGTGTCATTGCATGAATAGTTGATGTACGAAATTGTTGCATATAAACGACGCGATATTAATACGTTCGTTGTTTGTAGCTCAACCACCTGGTATACCGGAGATCTGTAAAAAGTCGCTCACCTCCTGTCCGTGCACCGGTGGATTAGAACTGTTCATACTTGGAAAGAACTTTCTGAAGGATACTCGTGTAGTGTTTCAATTAGACAATGACGATCTGTCGAGTAGTTTAGAACCGCACTGGGAGTGCGCCGTTTTGCCCGACAAGGAATTCTTGCAGCAAACGCATCTGGTATGCGTGGTGCCTGCATACAGGCGACAAGATCTTGCGCCTTCGGAAACGGTCAGCGTTAAACTGTACGCCGTGTCGTCCGGCAAAACTAGCGAGCCTCACACGTTTCTTTACACCGCCGCTTCTGCACCGCCAGAGCCGTCGGTGGGCAAGATAGAACCCATCACGCCGCCATTGGCCAACACAAACGGTGATACCGCGCTGGCAACGTCCCCTGCAGCAGCCGTATCTCTCACCACGGGTGTATCGTCGAACAGTAAGTGAATTTTAACGAGTAATGTAAATAGAGTACATCTACACGAGATCCTGACGTTTCAGCTCTGATCACGCAAGCAGCCGCGGGAACGCCGAACTTCTTGACAACGATACAGCCACAACAATCAGCCTCCCAAACGACGGAGGCTCTGAAGAGCGACCCCAGTCCTCCGCCAGTTACGGCATCGTCTCAGGTGACACCAGTTCTGATGTGGGCTGCTCAAAGTCCAAATTGCCAAAATTCGCCGCCTGACGTGATGATGCCGCCTCCAGCCATGGTAGCGAATCCCCTTCTAAACCGCAGGTCGTCTTCGAATCTTCAATTAATCCTGCCCGATAATTTGAAGACCGAGGTACTAGATGAGAACAGCGAAAACAGTATGATTAGCGAGAACAGTATGCAGAGTATACCTACACCTACTGCGAACGGCTCGACGGGTACGAGCCCGTTGCAGCAGCTCGTTAACGAAAACTCCAGAGACACGCCTCAAACGAACATGATCAGATCGGTGCCGGTTGCGGCAAACAGTTCACCCGTACAGGAGGCAGTAAATCTGCTCGGCGTAGTCGATTTGATGCGGAATCAACACCCATTATCGATGGTGTCCACGCACCAGAACACCTTCGGAGGTATGCACGACTCGTCTCAAGTCAAAGTTCTAAGTCCTCATCATATCAACAAAGACACTAATTCGATGTTGCCGACAGAAGGCAGCCCTAACGGAACTCTTCAGGGTGGCGGTGTCGTAGATCTCCGCATGAAACACCACCAGTCGGAATTCGGCACTCTATCGAATTTCACCGGTCCACCGAATGGACAGTTACCTGCACAGAGTGGACATAGCGTAGAAAAATACCTGAACCACATCGAGTCCAACGTGAAAGAGGCTGAAAGCCAGGAGAATGGTTTCGTGGGTGCCATACAGCAACGAGCTTCCATAATCGCTACGGGACGACAACCTCAACAAGCACAAGCTTCCAACATTTTAGCGGCTCCCACTCAAGGTGTGAAGCTGGATACCCTCGTTAATTCAGGGACGGAATCTCATCAGTTGGTGTCACCGCTTCGCACCGTCAACCCCAACAGTAGCGCCATGATGAGTCATGTGTCCGCGGTAACCGACCACGAGACGATCACGAGTCCCCAACAGAGCAGAAATAGCCCGCCGATTCCCGTGAAAACGATGCTCCTCGAAGCGTTGATGCCTCCTCAAAGCGTTCAACCTTTGACAGGGAGTAGCGGCACCACCGTGTCCTCTCCGGCTTCTGTTGTCCAAGAGCCGACCAACGGCGACAGCTTACTCACGACTATTAACGCTGCTCTATTGCCCTCAATGCAGGAGCCAGTCGTGACTACGAACGGTACGTCGAATCCTAGTGTTACTGTACCGAACCATAATCAGATGCAAGTTACGGACGAGACTATGTCGACAGCAGCGGAGCATATTCCGCAAATTCAGGGTCTTATTCAGCAAGAAGTTGTAGCGATGCAGCAGGCGCAGCAAGTGGAGCAAGTGGTGGCGCAGGCACAGCAGCAAGTCGAACAGGTTGTCGCTCAGGCGCAACAGCAGGCTGTCCAGGCCGTGCAGCAGGCGCAGCAACAGGTTGTCCAGCACGTAGTGCAGCACGCGCAAGTTGTCCAGCAGGCTGTACAGCAAGTGCAAGCGGTGCAGCAGGTTCAGGCTGTGCCAGCCGTTCAGCAAGCGGTGCAACAGGCTACGCAGGAAGTGGTCCAGCAGGCAGTGCAGCAGGCGACCCAAGAAGTGGTGCAGCAGGTGCAAGCGGTGCAGCAAGCGGTGCAACAAGCGCAGGCAGCTCAGGCGATGCAACAAGCGGTGCAGCAAGATATAGGGTCCATGTTGAATCAACCGGCGGGTTTCGTAGCCGAAGCCAGCTCCGCCCTCGCAAGCGGAGCGGCGCAGGAACCGTCGCAACAGAGATTGACTACTGCTGCGGAGCAGGCGATTAATAACGTAATCACTAACGCTACTCAGGACATCATTAACAATCGACCAATCACCACGACAACCGCCCATGCCATCATCGCAACGAAAAATATATTGAACAGTGTAGCTACTCAGAGCGCGCAGCTTATGAACAGCGCTATGGAGGGCATCCTACCGAAATCTCCGCCGGGTCAGAATAATATCGTCGAACAAGTCGCGAGCAAGTCACCGCCCGTTGCCTTACCCGTCACGCCCAACAGGCAAAACGTGAACCCACCCATTACTAATACGGCTAACAGTTCTACCGGAACGACGGTCAGAAAACAAGAAGATGGGATGTTGCCCCAAGAGCTTACATCGATGTCAGAACATGATCTGTTGAGCTACATAAATCCAAGCTGTTTCGATCCTCAGAATGGATTTCTTATGTAGTACTGCCGTATTCTTGTCATTAAAATACGTGTATAATTGTATTCGACGTATTCGGGTACACGGGGCAAATGACAGAGCGACTGAGCGTGCGAGAGAGAGGGAGAGAAAGAGAGAATGAAAGAAAATAATGAATTCCAATCGATCGCGTATAGAAAGTATATTTCTTGGCTCGGTACGAGTTCTTATATATTTGTGCCACATTGTCGTTTCAGACTTTGTATGTGATAGAAATGAAATCCGTTTTTATATAATGAAAATGGACGAAGTTTGCACCACCTTTGTAACAATTGAAAACTATTAACTATCGTGTTTAAGTAAGACGGGCGCACGAGAGCGCGACAATTAGGGTTTTTCCTTTACTCTTCCTTTTTCTACGAGTTGTCAAATGTGATAGTTCATTTTATTTATCTCCATCACGTCTCTTGCGCATCCAGGTGCCTTTTCTCTATATTTGTAAAGTATCAAAGGAGATTGGTAATTGTCTCTCGAAAAAAAAGTAGTATCGTCCGAGTACGATACATGCGCGCGTGTGTGTGTGTGTGTGTACATGTAATTTGTAATAATTGACAATGTACTGACCCCACTCAACTCTATAAGCAGAGCCATGGGAATTGAGTGTTAGTAAGAAAACAAAGTTACGTTCTCACAGTACCTTGAAAGTAGTGAATCTACGAATCATTATATACATTAGTGCATCCTTCTTGACTTGATTTCATTCTAACAAATGAATCATCTTGTTGTTTGACGTCGTTTCTATTATTATATTTCTAAGTATAATATATTTCGTATGTTGTTTAATGATTAAAATCATTTTTTTTGTTGATAATTAATACCAATTAATAGAAGATTATGTGATTGCGTTGATGCTGTTATTGTAACTACTAGGCAAATACAGAACGACAGAGAGATTATATTATATATGTCAGTACGAAGAATAATATAGAAATATATCATTGAGATTTATATATATATATTATATATGAACATACATAGAGAGAGAGAGAGAGAAAGATAAATAGATATATGTGCGTATAAATATACATATATATATATATATATATCTATATACATACATACATATATATATATATATATATATATATGTATAATCTATATATTTTTTACGTTTACCCAAAGAGAGAAACAGATGATCAGATAAAGTGAGCTTATTAAAGATATAAACAAAGTCTATATTATATATTGTAATGTCATGTTATATCGGGTTCCCGCCCCCATTTTGTTCAAAGTAAGGGGTGCTATGTACCGCGTGTACGAATACTCGCCAACATTATCTAGTAGAGAACAGATTTTATAACGAAACTATTGAAACGTTTAATGTCGTGATATGTCTATTGTAGGAAAATACATATTTTATATCGAGCATCTATTTCACGTGTCACGTGTTTCGAAGGGCCATTAAAATGGAAGAAAAAATGAGCATGAGCGCTGGCATTAATTACATAAACTGATCATAATATTATGGCATGTACTTCGTAAAGCTGTTTGTAACAATTACTATTCACTGTACGCACATCTGTAGCAAAGTCAGCCTAAACACTGAGAAACGAAATTCAATGAACAATGTATTATCATTTTGCTCCTGTAAATTGAATAAATGTTTCACAGCATCGCTTTCTCAATAATTTTCTCAGTCGACATGGGTATGGATTTAGTATTAGACTACTAATAAACTATGAAACAATGCTATACTGTATTTTGTCCATTCTTGTATAGTATTTATATACGTATTATTTTACAAGCGTAACAAGGAATTTTAACAATTTACAATTATAAATTAAATAACATACTAATTTTAGTTAAATCATATACTTTGCCATTTTCCTTTTTCACCTTTCACTTTGCCTTCTTTTAACAATTTATCGAGGTGACGTTCCACATTGTAGGCTGCTGCTTTCCACATGATTTGTGAAGTATCCTGAAAAATATTGTTGTATGAATTTTACTGTGTAAATGCATAAATTATATGTTTTATATTCTGAAACACATTGTAAGTCAAGTACTTATTATTACCGTGTATATATGTTTTACAATATCCATTTCAGACATTGTGTTATCTTTTGTGTTTTCCTGTAAAATTCCTAAAATTTCTAATTCTCTTTTCTGCCTATGTTCAATATAATGGTTAATTGCAGACACTGGATCTGTTATAACCGGTCCATGACCTGGATATATCAGTTTTGGATTCATCGACATTATTTTTTTCAATGACAATATATAATCATATAAATCTTCAAAAATTGCAGTCCTTTCACCAAGAATGCAATCTCCGCTAAATAATACTCGTTCATCTTCCAATAAAAGGGAAGCATGATCACTAGAATGCCCTGGTGTATGTTCAATGCGAAGTTTAGCTCCTTCAACTTCCATTATTTGTTTATCCTTTAATGGTTGCCATTCAGTTGATGTTTCTTCCTTAGTTATTTTGCCTTTATCTTCCAGTGACCTAGGCAACTTCCAAACTATACTAGCTGATCCATCAGCATTAGTTGCCTTCAAGAAATTTTGAATAGAGTTAACACCTCCTAGATGGTCAGCATGCCAATGTGTGACTATCAAATGAGCGATTGTAGCTTTCTCCTCATCTAATACCTCTTTCAATACTTTTATGTACTCTTCTGCAGTTTTTTCTTCGCCTGCATCAATTAATATACGCCTACGATAACCAAATTTCTATGAATTGCATTATTATACTTCAAGTGTAAAGAATATATAAAATTAAATCCCTTACCTAGTTCCTGTTCCTACAAGATATGTGTTTGTACCTTGCAATGTCATAGGCCCTTCATTGCATCCTAAAATGCGTATTACATTTTTAGATAATCTTGCTATTAGAGGTAGTTTGGTAAGAGGATTCATTTTCTAAATATCCACAGGTGCTGGATGTCAATGGCACTATCTGTAGGTGCATAGAAACAGGTAAAGACAACTTTAAGCGGCTGGTGAACGAATACTGAATACTGACTCGCAATTCTGAATCATTGCAGTTTAATTTTACGATTAGACTAAAGATCCAAGTTCATTTTGCACTCCGCGTTTATCTTTTTTATATAGATTATGATCTTGGCAATGATGACGTGTTGTCTACAGCAAACAAACGATAAACATAAAGCTAATTACAGTCTCTACCAAGATATAGCGAAGTTGTAAAGTCTGTTTGATTGAGGCGCTCTGCGTCTAACCTAACAACGCACAGGAGGAATATACACGATAATGAGTATGCAAAATCGTTAATTACACTTTTTTTAAGCACAATTTATGCACATTTATGATATAGGAAAATAGCTAAGGAATCACTGATCATTATTCAATCATAAAAGTTCATAAATAGTGTTCGGGTAATGAGTAATTAATTATTTTGTGTCTGCATTGCGATACGTACATGAGCCACGTATGTCAATTCTACTGCGCATGCAAAGTGCAATATTTCGGCACTTTGACGACGCAGTATGGTTCCTGAGGCATTTAGAAACAAATTTCTATTAGGCTTTGATGCGTTTTGATGCCTAATAAAGCCAGAAAATCAATTTTTGTCGAATTCGGTCGAAAACGGTACAGGTGGCGCCATCTAGCGGCGAGCGGCGGAACTACGAAAAACTAAAATCTCGATTTTCTCGAAAACTAGGAACTTTTCCGAAATTCTGAGATATACAAATTGTTCCTT